GGGAACATGCATTCCTTCACACATCAATAAGCACACGCACATGCACACACCCAGACACAAACATTCACTTGCAGCTGGCTCGGGGTGGATACAGGGTCCTTTGGCTTATTGGCTCAACATGCTGCGGCATTGTCCAATTGTTGTTGCCCTGTCCTTCTGGGACTGAACGTCTCTAGAGGTCCCTCCTCAGAGCCTGCTATGCTGATAAAAGACAGAAGAGAGCACGACTTTGAGAGAAAGAAGCCTGTGCTGTCGTGGCTAAGACTCTGCTCAGGCGACAAGGAGCAAAAAGGCCAAGCTTTTACTGTATGTTGACAGAGCGATAGGACTGAAGGGGAAAAGGTGAGGGCTCACAGATTGAAGCCCAGGCTTTACTGCAGTAATCCAAAACCCCTGTAACTCAGCCTCTCATACACACACACACACACGGAACCCCAGACTGGCAGACACAGAAATGCTGACCTGGTTGCAGCCTCATTCTTGTAACCCAACTATTTTTCTCCCCTGCCTCACCTTGCTTTGGCTTCACTCCCCCTTCACTCTTCTTTGCCCCACTCCCCAGCAACGCCACCTCTCTCTTCAGCCAACACAGCACAGCTCGATCTGCAGACACCGGGAGGGGGGGACAGGATGCGAAAATCAAATAATGAGTCGGGAGTTCACAAAAAAAAAAACTGCAACACTTCAGATTTGTCGGTGCAGAGCGAATAAAGCACTGAACACACAAGGTCATCGTGGCCCTACAAAACCAGCACCTGTCATCAGATTTAGGTGACAAGAGACCTATAGTGTGAGAAATCCTATGTAAGAATGTGATCTTTTGTAATTTATACAGATTAGCTTTCTAATTGTATGTTCCTTATTTCCCTCCGGCCCTCATTTATCAGCGTCTACAAGATCCTCCCTGGACTACCAGTTAATACTTTGTAAAGATAAGTCTATTCCTATTTGAAGGTCAAACTGAGTCAATATTTAAGCAGGGCTGAGGAACCACATGTCAGGGAGGAGGGGTGTCTGGATAAACTGTCTGTGGTCCAGCTCCGTGTAAAGATTTGACAGTGACAGCAGAGATAGGAAAGTTGCTATTCAAAGCACAGGCCTGGCTGACAGCTGTCCCTCACTCAGCACATCGCAACACAATTTTTTACAGTGGCGGGATCAAGGGATTGTGTGTATGTGTGTCCATACGTACTGATCAAAGTTTGTTTACGCATCTGAGCTGACTTCTGGGATATTTTTGACCCAACTACAGCCCCTGACAGTTATACTAACTACCACTGATATGAGGGAACTTCTCTACGTGTGTTGCGAAGTTGCACATGTCCATAGTTATTATAGGGAAGGCATCGTGGTTGTCAGGATGCAGCTGATGTAACTTCCTGTTGTGCCATTGCCTGTCTAAAGTGTTTATTTCAAAAGATCTTTGAATCGTGCTTTAGATTGCCCCAGATGTAGTGCTTTGTTTGTTTGTACCTGTGTGCAAAGATAAAAAGATTAATTCCACGTATGCATGGTGTTGAAGAACACTTTGTTTAGTACAGCACAAATCGTGCCTCATTTGATGTCACCACTTCAAAGCTCTGCCTCAGCTGATATGCGGATGAAGGGTAATCTAATAGATAGATGCCTGGATGGGAGGATACACACAATTTCCTTAAATAGCATCACAGCGACTGCTTGAATCACAACCTAATTGCCTTGTGTTGGAGAAGATTGCATTAATTCAGCGATGCAGACTCAGTTTACACAGCAGAGCCGGGAGGTGTCAAGTTGCCAATAAAACAGGAGTCTAAGTTTCATCCCACTTTATTGGATTGTGCAGTAGCCTTTGCCAATCACAGGGGATAATTGCGCAGCATAATTTACCATCAGAGGCTATAGAACGAGAGGAGTCCTCGGTAAGACGGCTCACCATCACACCACTGTAGTCCTGTGGGAAAAGGAATTTAACTTTTGTCAGAATCGGCTTTTTGGTGCTCATTTCCCAGCACCTTTGTTTTTGGCTTCAGGTTTCCTTTTTATTTTAACACATCAGGTCATGATGCTTTCCTGATAGGCTTTCACCTCTAATGTGCAGGCATAAAGGACTCTCAGTGTGTTGCCAAACAGTCATGGTCATGGAGAAGTGCTGATTTGATAAAGTGTGAATTGATTAGAGCTGAAACCACACAGGATATGGCTGAACAATGGAGTCATCGATAATCTGCCCTGTGCTCAGCATTGATTATTGCTATCTTAGATAACAGGACAGGGGACTCTCACTCTCACACACACACACACACACACACACACACACACACACACACGTCTCTTTGTGCCTAATTTTTC